AACCAAGCTCTGTCTCCCACCTTTCCCAGCTTCCCATGAGTGTATTCACTGAAGAAAATATTTTGCCTACTTCCACACCCTAAAATCTGTGACATTTGAGATATCCCCATGGGAAATGTCCTCCACTGCAGTGAGTATGTCTGTCATTACATTATAAAGCCAGTGATGCTGTCAAACCAGAACAGCTCTCTTCTTCTTCCATGATGTATTTAGAGAGGAATAATAATATATCTATCATTATACACATCAGGGTGATTATCTGCAGGGACAGATAATTTTGTTCCATTGCCCACATGATTAAGGAACACTTTTGGTAGCAAAGAGATCCAGGTTCACATCTTTTCTTACTGAGACTGTATTATCTTGTTACCTTCTTGAAGATTTTGGTGTCAAAATCATTTTATGGGCTCCAACCCCACCCTCTGACCCCGCTGCACGTTCATGCATCACACCCTGTGCACACACTGCCCACGGGCCAGGTTGTAAATCTGCCCTCAAAACTGATCCCTGTTAAAAATAATCTCCCCAAAATAGAAGAGTGAAGGAGTAAGGGTTACCAGGGTTATTTTTAACCCGCACTGGTTCAATGGTCTGATTTACACCGGCGACCCACCGGAGGTTTTTCTGGCCAAGCGCGGGTGGCACATCATGGTGTGGAGGAGAGGGAAGGGATGGCTGTGGGCACACGGGATGCTAAGCTGGGCTTTGAGGCTGAAGCCAGCATGTGGTAAAGCCTGGCCTCAAGGACACCACTCAGAAACCAGAATAAAACTATTCAGCAGCAGTGGTAGTGGGAGATTCAAAATAACTACAATGGAGCAGTGTAGTAAAAAATAGATGGGGACCAAGAGACCTGCAGACAATTTCATCAACACCCTAAAAATGATCACATCTCTTCTAAGCAGCCTTGATATAGGCTGGAGTCATTGCTCTGTTATTCTGCCTTTCAATAGCTAATATTCTGATTCTACTACTTTTTGAATACCATCTTGCTGAATTTATAATGGTATTTTCAAGAGACATCTTCCTCGGCTGAGTTCAGGCCAATTAAAAACAGGCAGTCATAAATCCTGCCCTGCTATTTTTAATACTTCATTAAAACCTGAGAATTATAAAGGGACTATGACCCAAAATAAAGAGGTTTTATTTTGTAGCTTGGTTCAATTTGGTTGATCATAGAGTGTGAAATGTTGACATAATGATAACATTTCCCTCCCTCCTCTAAAAGAAATTTCCCTCCCTCTTCTAAAAGCGAGAGCAAAAGAAAGTGATGAGAAAAAGGCCACTATTTTAGTTGGTACTGGGGATGAAGAAAATATCCTAACCACTGTCTGGTATGCAGAAGAGGAATAAAAATATCACCTTTATTACCCAGCTAACCCAACATCACCCGACATTTGAGACAGATATACAGCTAGCCTTAATTACTGAAACTACTTCTGAGGTTGATTTTTGACACTGAAAACATGCACATGAAAATTGCGTAGAGCTAAATTCATCAAAGGACAGTAGTGATGGAAATGCTATTTGGAAGCTTCAACTACACATTTACCTACTAAATATTGCAATATTTTAAAACACCGGCATGATTATGTGGACAGAATTCTTTTCAGTCAGTACTACCCTTTTCCTTTCCCCATATGCTACTACTTGTATTCAAGAAATCTAACTTCTTAATACCAAGTGTGCTGAATTAACAGACCACCAACATACTCAATTTCCAGCTTTGAAGGGAATGTTTAACCTAGCATTGCACTGTACCATTATTTTTAACTCAAGCTGTTGTTTTTTAGGTTTTTTTTTCATTCAGAACAATATGGTCTACATAAACGACACACATTTCCTGTAAGTCAAAAACTGCAAAAGCAAACAGATGGAGACACAAACTAAGAAAATAATTAGAATATCAGAATACAAAAGTTGCTCTTTGAAACCTAGATTACACGTGGAGGCAGACCCCTGTATTGGCATCTCACTGTAAAGCTCTCACATTTTTCTTTACTTTCTGCTGCCTTTCACACCACACTGACCCTTGATTGGATATTTGAATTCTACCTCCACCTGTGCACCAGGGAATTATAAACACAGATTCTGGGGTGTATTCTAAACTTCATTTAAACTACTCCTGCATGTACAGAAGGAGGCCTCATGTTCTAAAGAAGATCTCCTGTAGCTGGAGAAGAAACTCCACGATCCTAGTGCTGATCCCTGTACATCTGTGTGCTGCCTTCTGGAGAGCTTGGCAAATTCATGTTTAGGAAAAGGGCATTTAAAGAGAAGCAAAGTAGCCTTGTATTTAGAAGAGTATGGTGCTAAGTACTTGCAGTCCCCAAAGAATACCCCCTTGGTAATAAATGTTCTTTCTCCCTACCTTCCTGTTCTTCCCACAGCAGAGAGGAGCAGCATCAAACATGATACTGAGGAAAGTATGTCCTCAAAACAGCTGAAATAGGATTCCCCATGAAGAAAATGGAGGAGGCAGAAAGCAAGTTCTACAACTCAAAATAGTCAGCATCACACATTGCTAAAAATTGCCCTCCCTCCTCCTACATCCATACTCTAGACAGGAAAAGTTCACCTGCCACTTTATGATGCTGTACTTGAGGAGGAAGTAGATAATCAACATTTCCTTAGACATGAAGCGTAACTACCCACAAGGCTATTCTTTCCACTGACACAAGCTTATTTTTCTTCAAAATACTTTTAATTAATCTGAAACAAAGTCAAAATTATTTCTATAGCAGTACCCAAGGACTGTGGTTTCTGACACTATGCACTGAGAGCTGGCATCTAGGGACACTCCAGACCTTAACTTGATTTAAATCATGCAATTAAAATGCAGGTTCAGTTTTTTCATGTACCAAAGGACTATAACCTACATTCAAGCTCAGAAATCAGAGACATATTCACTTATGTAATCACCCAGGGCAGAGAGAGCCAACAGTAGTCCTTCAACATTTGTGGCTAATGCACATCCAGTTTAAAACCTCAACCCTACAAACATTTACATATGAAATAGTTAATCATGCCAAAGAAGGAAGCCACTAGTCAAAGTTATGCACACGCCTAAAGCTCTGTAGACTCAGGGCTTAAAAATTTAAGACAATACCTTTGCTCAGAGAAGAAAAACTAGTTTTATGGGAGCACTGTTATTCCTGAAGTTGTGTGTCATTCAACACAAAGACTCTTCATTGAACTTGAAATTACTTATGCACCTTTTAAGTACGCTTCTATTGCTTTAGACATCAAGGGTTTCCTGTCATGTATCCTACCAGATGTAATACATAGTGAACATTAATTTTTATATAAAAACCAGTAAATGTAACATATATATTTGGTTTGTTCACTTACCACTACACAGTTATCCCTTGCTTTCGGAGAGAAGAAAAATTTAAAAAACCGCACTGCACTCCAACTGAATGGAAGAAAAAAAACCCCCAAGACAGAAGAGAAAAGGAAAACCAAGTATTTCGGTACGAGGTAGGTCACGGGAACTTGTTACAGCATTGTTACAGCTCACAACCTGAACTATCACAAACAATGGCAGTAGGAGAGCTGTGGGCACCCAGCCAGTTCAGGAGCACATGGGGTGGAGTAAGGAATCACTGTCTTCTCTCTCCAGTATTCTCCTAAAACTATATTCAAAGCATGAGGGTTTTTGGTGCCCCTAGTAGTGGAAATCATCCATGAAGGGACCAGGTATTCCCATGGATAACACTGACAAATGTGAAAATTAGAGGTCTCACACTAAAAATCTCAAAATATCCAATTTATCTAAGATGCTTTAAGACAAAATGACAATTACTACATTTTATGTGCTAGAGAAGAATTATACACCCCTCCCTCCATCAACCTGTCTGTACTTGTTGAACTTTGAAAATGACTGCATTTGAAGATTACAGTATTTCCAATTAGTTGCTAATACCACACGACTTCTGCCTTGTATACAAAGTATGTTTCTGGTTGGTTGTTTTTTTCCTATTAATAAAGGCTGACCAAAGCAGAGAAACCCCTAGAAGCGGCAACAGGTGGAAAAGGTAACTGTCACTGGTTTCACAGAGTAGTTTGTTTAACAATGTTTACAAATCAAGAGTTACAAAACCTTGCTGTAGTGCAAACTATCCCACATCTTACTGCTATTTGCACTTGCACTTTCATTTCAAGCATCTGGTCAGTCCTAGATGGACAAAAAATTCTGGTGTAAATGAATCATGATTTTGATACATCACCATAAATCCTCCCTTCAGCCCCCTGGAACACTGCACAGAGAGAGAAATACCAGCTTTGAAACACTGCTGCACTGCTGCAAGTATAAGGTACTTCATGGTAATTAATAAAAATATCTTCTCGGTGTTGAAGAGTTCAGTGTTTGCAAACGGTATTTTCATGGGCTTCTGCTACTTAGCCTGCTTGAGATACAGGAGAAATTAATCACAGTGAGTGGGCACAAAGTTATATCATCAACCAAATAATTATCCTTTGTGCATTTACTCTGGGTCTGCTGGCACCTTGAATGATTAACTAGGACTGGGAGGGCTGAGGCAAGGACGTGTGCGTGGAGCCTCTGTAGAAAGTCTGGCTGACACAGAGTCTGAATCAGCAAGAAAACTCCACTGTTCTTCCAAAAGGGAGAGATTCAGTATCACTGAACACCAGCTAATCATCAACAGAGTGCTGAGTGTATCTTCACTCCTTCTGGGCAGGGCAATTCCCAACAATACCCAAACTCTACACACAGCACTGTCCATCCGTGTCCACCTGGAGCTGATAATTCCACAGAGTACAAAAAGCAGAAAAGCAGACAAGGGTTTCTGCATTCCTGAAGGATCAGCTGAACATTCTGGCCGTGTTGTCAGACACTTACTTGATTAGCACTGACCAAAGGCACGTACTTCAGTAATTCCCAAAGAGCAGCCCACTGTTTTGGGAAAATATTTACTCCAATGCAGTGAAATACAATCCTGTGCAGAAAGGCCTGGCTGCAGCCAGGGGTTACTCACCGGTGGGAAATCGAAGTCTATCTGGTTGGCTAAATTTAAGATGTAGTCGATTCGAAACTGGTTCTCTGGGTTGGCTAGTTCCACTGGAGGGGCCAAATTGCCCATTGCTGTCACTATTGTCTGCAAAGACAAAAAAGTAAAATACTGCAGAGAGTGTCTAAACAGCCATTTTGAATAAGTAAAAACAATGGCTCCTAAGCTTACCTCTATAGCTTCTTTAATATTGTTTTTAATATCCTGGATTTTCATTTTCTTCTCCCTGTAATAAAAAGATACATTATTAAATTCAGGAGCCACAAAAGCAGAATATATTTTTAAAACCGAACGTGAACTTGAAAAATACTTTATCAAAACTTTATTGTCCCTATTGACTGAAGTGCTTTCAGTCACTGAAGACTTTTATAGAGACTTGATTAAATATCTCAAAACTTCTCTACTTAAACAGTAACATTTATTTGCATCCAAAAATCAGCATCTAATTATGCTTAAATAAAAATTTATTACAGCCTTAGACTGGGACTAAGACATTCTGCAAAATCAAACAGATTTTGATTCACTTGAATGGAAACACTAGACAGGAATGAAAGTTCTTTAGAAATGTATAAACTGGAAACAAACAGAAAGAAAGAAAAGGGTAAGTTATTAAAATTAGAAACAAATGAAAGGAGACCAAAGAACTTCAAAGTACAAAAAAATTAAAGCATTAAAGCACAAAATGATGCCACAGCAGAACAGGACAGAACAGAGAGCTCAACCTGACAGAGACACTGAAACCAACAGTTTGGCTACAAAACATAAAATAAATAGTAAAAGGTTAATCCAAGTATCTACAATTACCTCTTGACTACAAGGAGTGGAACAGGCTAGAACACCACTTGGAAAAAGCACTATCATTTGGGATTCACTGCAGTCAAATTAACAAGCCTAATAGGCTGAAGCAAGAGTGCAAACCATTGTTATGCTGCATTTTTATTGGCTTTAGTGTCAAATCTGACAACAGTTACTTTCAATGCTGTACAGTGCAGTCCAGTGAAATGCATGATCCAACATTTGGTATAACCAGGAATCAGCACCCTCAAAGCATTACTAGTATTGAGTCTGTAAACTGTAACTTAATTGCAAGGCACTACAACAAAAATTTTACATTATTAATTTCTTGCTGTAAACAGCATAAAATTATTAGTTTGAGGTATACAAAGTTAGCCACGTCATTCCTAAAATAATCCAGCTGAATTGTCTCAGTGACCTTTTAATCTTCATTAAACTGTTTTTATAGAACACTTTGATTATCTGAATATTTATACCAATTTTTAATTTTTTTTTATCCTTTTGAAAACTAAGATTTTCCAGTTCAGTATCCCAGAAACTTTGAACTACCAACAGCACATTTCCTTTTTTCACCCTTTTAAAGGCAGTAACTCACACCTCACTTTACTGAGTCAATTCAGCAAACACATTGCAAATGCTTTTTGTCACTTTTTCCTTCCTATAATTATTCACAACCAACAACCAAAACGAAACTGAAAGCACATTCACCGACCAGGAATGCAGAAGAACAGCAGAAAAAAAACAAAAAGAAGTACTGCTTAAATAACAAGGCAGACACAAACATCCAAGAGTGGTGGGAATTCTAGTTATCAAATGAAAAATTAATGCAACTTCTTTAAAAAGAAGACAGGGTCGAGGAAACCCCCCCGTGGCAGCCGCACGTTCCGCTGCCTTTCAGGCACAGGCGTGGAGGATCTGATTCTACATTCCCCAGTTGTGACAGAATGATTGCAATGCCAGTGCTGCTCTTACACATGGAAAGCAAACAGCAGCATCAAATCATCGTGTTCAGGATGACTTGGCTGTGGAGAGAACGGGTCTGAATCAGCAGCAGAACTCTACCAACAGAAACGGGATTATCCCCAAACGTCAGCTGCTCACCGCTGGCCATGGACCCTCCACGGTCTGGGGCAGGGTGAGGAAGGTCAGGGGAGCCCGATGCAGCGAGAAAATGAAATTATCAATAGTCAGATGAAAATTCTTGGGTTTCCTTCGACTTTTTTACCTACCTACAGACCACCTTATTCCTAAAGACCACCAGTTTTTTGCTCTACACATTTGGCACCACTGATGAGAACAAGGACCCAAGAAAGGCCAAAAGCGCCAAATTAAGGAAAATAAATAACACAGGAAAAGAGAGGAAAAACTGAGGGCTTTTCATCCTCTTCTTCCCTATCTTCCATGCTTTCTAGGCCTTAAGAAACTCTCCATTCCACAACCAAGACTTCGGGTAGGTGCAAAAATCCTGTATTTTTCAGTTGGTACGTGTACAGTTGCAAACCCATCATCTGCCTTCTGTTTTTAAAAACCATGTTTCATAATTAAAAATATGTAAATAATGGCATGAAAGCAGGAAATGTTTATCAATGAGAGTGTAAGCAATTTGTCTGGCTTTATTTTGCCTCCGGTTTTCAGCTGGATCTTCAACTTAATGAACATGTATTCTGGACTGTGCCCCGTTGAGATCAAAAGGGCAACTGATACGCTGAAAGCCAAGCAAGATATCAGTATTTTTAAAGAATTATCAGTCATTTTGCTTCAGTTTGGAACATCATCAGAAAGACAGAAGTTTAGGAAGTTGTGTTGTTTTTGTTATAAAGCAAATTGCAGTTATTCTCTCTCCCCTGGAACACTTGGGATTAACTGTCTCAAAGCAGAGAGGTGCACATTTACCTGACTCTACAACAAACCACATTATTTTTATCACAGGTTTCAGTCAAACTTCCACATTTACACCTCTCGGCGGATCCTCATGCTACTAAACAGCACTGCGAGGTGATAATGAATATGGAGAAACATTAAACTCCAGCAATTAACAAACTGCTCGATAACCATCATCATCTTTACAACAAGGATACTCAGAGTTCCTATTTCTGGTGTTGTTGCCATGGCCCTATAGCCTGCCCAGTAAACAAGGACTCTTATTACACAGCAGTGAATGTATCACTGCGTTTTGTGTTTTGTAATGTTTACTAGGCATAAACTTTCCATGACAATGAGACACTTTATTCTTCTGGAACTCAACATGTTCATCAATCACCCATCCAACAGCAGCTTAAATACAACTGTAACTTCTCACTAAGAAAAAAATAAAAATAAGGTGACATTCCTTTTACTCAGGGACTGATGAGATGCAGCACACAAGAGCTACGACCCTTTGCCTTCCCAGAATTGGGGTTTTTTCTTCAGAAATCCCAGACAGGTTGCACCTCAAATTTCCAAAAGTACTTTCTTTTCCCCAGAAAAGGTACAATATTCAACTTAGGAACAGATTCTCACTTTTTAAATTTCTTATTCCCAGGTGCTGGCACAAAACTAGAATAGAAAAAAGCTGGGCTCCCAAAAGGTTTTCCTCTGGAAGATCCTGAGTAGGCCAGGAATGGCACTGTGCTATCCTGGCTAACTAAAGACTGATGTCTCTGCAGGCCTGTTCTGTATCTTTAGATGCCATGGGTTAATAAGGTCATACTTTTAATCTTGTTTAAAACTTTTGCTTAGGCTGTGTAGGGTAGGCCAAACAAAGCATTAAACTCTATTAGTTGAGGATTAGAAGAAAAATCTCAAATCCTGCTGTTTTCAATATTTAAATGGGCCAAAGCAAAGCTGCACATAGCTTTCAGGAAAACTAATAAAGTCTATTTTAGGTACTACAAAAAAAAAAGATGACATTTTAATTCAAGTAACATTAAATTAGAATGACATAAAAGGTCAGGAAAATCAAATATTCCTTGAAAACCAACCTAATCAGTATTTATTAAAGAACTTCTCCACCTGTGGCTGAGTTTTACTTTTAAAAAGGTAACATTTTTACTCAGACTTTATCAAATCCAATGTAAAGAACACATTACCAAACAGATTATCAGAAAGCAAACTAATTTAATTTTAATGTTCATTTTTGGTTTACTTTCCAGATAATATGAATAACCATTAATTGGAAAAAAAAAATTAAAGTTTAAAAAGAACATTCCAGAGGATGAGGATTCAGTTCACCCTGAATCCTTCTACATCTCACAGGTAGAAAAATAATTTTTAAAAAAGGTGCTGAAATGAATGGCCAAAACAAAACATGTTAAAGAATTGGGGGGGGGGACACAGATGGACAAACAGGGGGATGTCAGGACACAACCTCTTTATGCCATTATCCTAAAAGCCAAGAAGTTTGAATTTCTTGGTCACTGCTTAACACTTAACACTGACAGGTTAAGAAACCAAACGCCTCGTTGGAAAGTTCTGTAGCTCTGGAAAGTACATAGGGACTATTTTAATAAGGGATATTAAAATGTAATCACATTGTTCTTTACAAGGTTGTGAACAGCCCAGCTTCCATCACCTCCAGTGATCAGCATCACATAGAAATTACCTTTATTCCTGAAGCATTGTCAAACTTCCCTCACTCCTGAAACCTGCTGACACAACAACTCCAGAGAGTGCAAAACTTCCCATCCCCGTGCAAAGCACTGCAGTTCAGTGAGTCAATTCGCAAGTGCCAGAGCCAGAATGAAAATCTTACAAAACAATTCATTTGCTTCTGGCTTTTTATAGGAGAAAATGTGTAGCACACACGTGCAGCTCCCTGTTTTCAGGTATTGCCAACAAATGGGAACGCACAGGGAAGTAGCCACGGGCTGTCCCCTTTTGCTCACCTTCAAAAGCCCATCACAATTACACATGGAAGCCAACGACAAGTTAACAGATCAATTTTGTTTTAAAACACAATTTGGTTCTTTGACAGGCAGTCATGCACTTCACAGGCATGTGAGCTTTAAACATGTCTATTCGTCTAAATATGGTGTCTTTGATGCAGTGAAACATCTGATGGATTTCATAAATATTCCATGAAATCTGCATTAAAATTTGTTTACTGCACCTTACGGAAGTTAACAGAAATGCAAACAGCACTACCTGCCAATCCACCTCAGAAAAACACGACTCTGCAGTCAAAATCTTCAGACACAAGACCACGAGCAAGGAAATTCAATTAAGGTTTTGCTACCAATCCACATTACAAAAATCCCGCAGTACTTCACAATTCAACAAAGAGATAAATTTGGTTTAGCAGCCTGGGTTATTTCTAACAGAACATGCAATTACCTCAAAATATAACAGCTACAACGGCAAACAGGGCAGAGGCCAAGTTAGAGGCACTTGAAAATGGGGAAAAATAGTTGCTTAAGAGTATTCAGGGTGAAGCTGAAATAATTCACGTTAGAC